GTACACGCGCAAGCTCTCTGACACACCGAAGCAGCTACTAAAGGCCCCTCCAGAGGCCCCTGAATTGCTTGAAAACGCAAAAACTTCGAGGAAAGTAAGACTAAAGTTTCTTGAAGTAGAATTTGAAGTACAGTCTGTTGAGCCCATACGTTAACAATACCAATCGTTCCCTCTTGTGGTTCGGAGTCTGTTCGGGTCTGTATCATTCTGAACAAAGTAAAATCACCCAGCTGTTGCATGACGTTAACATCACTCACAGAGATAGTGGATACTCAAAGGTTAATAGCACATTCGATTAGTCCATCCATCTTGAAATTTGTGAATCATGTGACCTACCATGTTAAAGCCCCTACACATGGGAAATGGTGACCTGAGATACCAAAATGTTTTTTTCTAGTGGGGTGTTTCCTCTTGGAAGTGGTGACGACTAAGAGCCGTAAAATGGCTTCTCTAAGAGGGCGTTTCGTTAAGGAGTGAATGATGTAATGGAATTAGAGTTATTTCAGTCATTTGGTGGACGACAGCAGTTATAGACTGCCCAACGTGAGCGTGTTCTTGCTTTGCCCATTTGAGACAGTGCAATTCCACCAACAGGTCAGCACGAATCCTGGGTGGAAGCGCATGGAGTGTTACCGTTGCCTGCATGCCATCCACAGATCATTCCGCGTCATGCTCTTTTTGAACTCACTAGCTCTTCTTGAGTGAATATATCTACTCTCCACACAATGACTTCATCCATTACTAGCTCAAACTACATTTCTTGGTCTCATTCGACACCGTTGGGCTCAGTGACTGACGAGTAAATAGTGAACCCCAGATAAATAACTGGTTCGGTGAATATATTCACTATCCATCTGTTCTGATTTGTGAATAGTGTGTGCAACGTCACGCATTATTGCACGTGACAAGTCTGAATTCTCGCACACCATCACTCAGCCAGTCATCTGATGCCGCGGCATGTGCGCGCTGTCTAGGCATGACAGCAGCGATTAGAGGCTACCTAGGCCGGCCAATGAGGAACGAGCACCGCCCACTCAAGTCAGCTGACAGGCGCCTGTAACGGTCACTCACTGGATCACGTGTCACAAACACTCGAATCAAGTAACAATTCCTGTTCCCACTTGCAATCTTAACCGACAACAATTTCTCATCCATCTTTGTTTACGCGGTTACCACTTGCGTCACGCACCAGCAACACTTCGACTTAATCAGGTCAGGTTGTATTCAGGTTCGTGCAATCGTCAAACACGAATGGATAACCCTCTCTTCACACTGCACGACCGGACGTCGACCGAGCTCCACAAGTCTCCACGGACAACTACGAAACGCGTGTAGCAGCTACGCTGCAGAGTAGACATACGTCCAGAATTTCACTCAGGAACTCAACATTTGTCCTCAAACGATATGTCACTTTTTGGCCTATTTCCGCCTTGTATTTTTATCAAGTGCACATAGCTTTCGTAATCATTACCATTCTGGTAAAACAGACATTTGTTAGTGCTTGTCACCTCCTGATGATCGACCTAATTATGTAACAGCCTAAATCACTAACACGCCCAACCGAGGGTGGCATTAGAGTGTGGTTGGGGGGGGGGGCTCTGAAGCGTGTACCAACAACTCCATCAACTAGCGGAGTCTTGACAGGAGTCACTTATGACAGTTTTTCCCCAGCACTAACTAGCATTCCCGCACCGGGACGAAAGGCCCACTTGTACGAAAAATCAGCTGACTCGCAGTCTAGATACGGATATCAAACTGGGGGCCACATTGTAAGACAGGATGTGGTTAGTGCTGAAATTCACCATCCATTTCGTCTGGGTCGGAACTCACCAGATGACTGTGGTAGCATGTACCTTTGGCTAACAGTTTTCATCATCTATCAGAGCGTCACTCCACCTCCAACCATACTTGCGCATATGGACTAAACTACTCTGGGTGTGTGGACACCAATAGCAAAATTCGCACGCGAATGATGTTGTCCTCAGTGTAGCTGTGACGGTGAACCTTGTCTGAGCGTGGTTCGAAGGCAGATGGACTGCTGTAAGTAGTGCTGATGACGAAAATAAACAGTTAAGAGCTGTAGGCATCGTTTTGATGACTAGAAGTCAAGTAAGTCAACACAGGTGAATTTTCAGCATGCAACTCTGAAACATGTAATCGATGAAAACCGCCTGGATTATCCATCACTGGACAGCTGACAGTTGACACAAGTAGGCTGGACTCTAGGTTCAAACTCAGAGTTGCGTAGTAACCAGAAAACGGGTCGAGTAACAGTCCACAGAAGGGGGGCTGACTGGTAGTGCTTAGGACGGGTGCACCAGGTTAAAGTTGATTTGGTGAGCGACTGATGGTTACGATGAGGAAAGTCGATGAGACAACTACACCCATCTGCACGTCAATTTGGTTTTCACAGGATACTCACCTGGATACCAACTGGATCTCTCGTTTATGATGCTCTTCAACTGGATGTGCTTCCTCAGACAGCAGTTGGAACGATATTCAATATACGATACGGCATACATGGTATACAGCTAACAATCTACCCAAGAGGTACCTGAGAACTTTTCGAAAGCCCATTCAATTGAAGAATATCGTAAATGAGTCATTCAGCTGGGATTCAGGTGACACACCTGTGAAATCCAAACTGGTATGCAAATGAGTATACTTGCCGAATTTCGAACAATCTGGGTTCAAATGGAGCATAAGGATGGCGGAAAGTCGGGGACTGTGCCTAACTGATGAGCCCCAAGAAGAGAGAAACCGGTAGCAGGCTGTCTAAAAGTGGGTGAGATTTCACTGCACCTAGACAGGTGTTACAGCGACCTTGATGTTAAGGCAGCACTGTTTCTTGAAAATAACAGGAACAGTGAAGGAGGACAACAAACCCTACATTGAATTTCCCCATACGTCACTTTGAGTCACGCGTAGGTCTGACGATCCCAAATAGCAATAGAAGGAATGGGATGCAAAAGTCCACGGCACAGTTTACACACAAGTAAGTAAAACTATACACCAAATCTCAACTACGCACGTCCGTTGTGTCAACAAGTGCACGAGTGTGTCACTGAGCGGTGAAGCACACCGTCAACTTCCGACAACGGTGAACGGAAATTTGGCTCGGTGGTATGGGCTGCGGTCACCCCGTCCGAGGCCAGTTTCATGATTCTGATTGGTGGAATGTTCCTTCGGCTATTGGTAATCAATTTTGACCACTCAGGTAGCAGCCAGTCTCCTGGACAGGACAGGTGTATTCACCAAAGTACACGATTTGTCTCTGTACCTCAGCGTCTCTTCCCATTTTTTGAACCAAAAGTACACAGTTGGAATCATTTCAATTGGGACGCTCAGCTAGTTAGCAGTACTAGTCCTAAGAGGTTCGTTTCGAAAGGATTGACATGGGCCTGTTCTCTAACCATTGTATCTTATATGACTTCCGGTTCCTCACATTTTTGTGAACCACTTGCTACCTCAATGTAGCACTGAAGTATTGAACACAGCTATTCGGTGATTTTGCCCCTCCTGCGCGCCATCAAGGATAGATGAGCCGCATGGATAGGCCCGTCACGAAGAGACTGGACCTTGCCGTGGTGCGCACCTCAGCGACCGATTGAGCTATACTGGGGAGTGTCCCCGCGACATTCAGAGTCTTTACAATAAGGCTTCCAAATAAATCATGACTGTATGACAGTGAAGAATCGGTGCTGAACACTGATGTCATGCTGTCGATGACCCTGATGATGATGACGATGATGATTCGGATGATGATGAGGATGATGATGACGATGATGATTCGGATGATGATGAGGATGATGATGACGATGATGATTCGGATGATGATGAGGATGATGATGACGATGATGATTCGGATGATGATGAGGATGATGATGACGATGATGATTCGGATGATGATGAGGATGATGATGACGATGATGATTCGGATGATGATGATGATGATTCGGACGATGATGATGATGATGATGCTGATGACGACGATGATGATGATGAATAGGCTACATTGGTGGGACGTGATTTGAGAAATCGCGCACCGTGGATTGCAATGCGGATCCCGTCTGCAGTACAACCGGTCCTTCACGTAACCCGATGCATCATTGCTGAATATGTTGTATCCCTTAAACTATCCAGCGCCATCAGTAACCAGTTAGTTTTGAAATCAGTATAACCTTGCCAAATTACAATGTAGACTCAAATTTGTGACCGACCTTTTTAAAAAAAACCTCGCGGGTTAACATGCTTTGCATGAACGTTTGTCGACTGGCTCCGGGGAATCCGGTGTGCGCGTTTCTTAGCGCCGCCACATTGGGATAAAAAACTACCCGTTAAAATTCATACTTTCATGCAATTCATCTGATTTAGCGACTCCCCCCTGAATTCACTGTCCACCAAAGTGATACAGACACATTCATTTCCCAGTCAACATCTATGGGTAAAGACATCAATTGACTCGGTAAAATTTGCTGTTCTCCACAAGTTCCACAGCGTGGTTTTATCTCCATTTCCAGCCTGTACGAATTGTATTGTCTTCAGTAAATCATAAGGCAAGCCATCTCTTTTAAAAGTGGACCCATCGAGAGAAGTCTTCTTTAATTCCGTTATCTGTAAGTTTAGTGTCGTTTGAGCTCCGCAACCCAGAAGACTCTGAGGACTAAACAGAAATCACACCGGCGATGTCCTACAGGACTACTTGATACAAACAGCTGGTGGTTTACAGAGCTAACTTCATCGAGTCCCACAACACTGTATACTAGGTTTTTCCGTCTGTCTGCAACTTGGCCATTAAAGTTCGAATAGAACACGATAAAAGACAAAAACTCCCGTTACAAATGAACGCTTCCGAAAGGATGCGATAGGAGAAATGAGTTTGGAAAATGTTGTCACAAGGATGTCCAGAAAACTATCGGCAGTAATGGGAGACAGGTCAGAAGTTCTGATGACCAAATCGCGTCGGCGTACACCGCATCACAGTGGATAGTTATTGGGACATGGAAACAAGGCGTTCAACAGGATTCTATCAGGAATCCTCCCCGCATTTCAGAGGTGGTGTGCTGAATGGTGCCTCACCCGACATAAGCGCGCACTTGCCGCACTGGTGAGCATTCAGCTAATCAGAAACCAGTGTGACTTAAAACGGAAGTTAGAAAATCTATATACCGATTCGCGTGACATGGGATCGTGAGCCTCATGTTGGTAGGATATTCGCGAGATCATGGCATATTTTCTTGAAGGAACCTACTCAGAAGGTTGCTGAGGCTGTTTTCAGCAACCTTGTGAGTTGTCTCTTCCCAAAAACCTTATACCTTAACTGAATGTCATATTGTACTTAAACGGATTGAATGAGTCAGATCCAAATTAAGCATGAAATGGTGTTTGAGCAGCAAGTTCAATTGGAGTTTGGTACAAACGAAAGATTCAGCTGATATTCAACAGTGTCTAACGTTAACCCCGAGTTTTTTCATTGGCAACTGAATTTATCGATCCATTTGCGCAGGATATAGTGCATAATTAGAGGGCTAAGGATATTGGAAACAGGAGGACTAAACCCACTCGTTAAACTCCAGAAACGGCCAAACTGGTAGTGGGTCGTTAAAGAGTTTTCCCAAACCATGTAGGTAGTATGCTATGTAAAGTGGAACAGTGATTTTCGAGAAACACACCCGTTTTCAAGTCAATCTGGTTTTCACGAGAGACTCAACTGAATCTCTCGTCTATGATATTCTACAGCTGAATGCGCTGTGCGGGCTGTCGAAGAGTTTTCAGCAATCTGGTGAGTAGTTTCCTTTATGAAAATATACTGCGACATCTGGAATATCGTACCAACTGAAACATGAGGCGGCCTGCGTGCAGCACATCATAAACGAGAGATTCGTTTGAGTCTCCCGTGAAAACCAAATTGATTTGCAAATGAGTGTATTTCTCGAAAACAATGCAATTTGGGTTCAAGTAGATCATAAGGTCGATGGAAACTCGGGAACTGCGCCTACCTGATGGTCCCCAAGCAGGGCGAAACCGGTCGTGAGCTGTCGAAGAGTTTTCAGCAACCTTGTGAGTAGTTTCCTTTACGGAACAGTGATAGTTTAGCATTTCACTTTTTGTGGCACTAACCGGCGAAGCCCAGTAGCCCTTCAAGAACAATTTTCGAGCTAGGCATTCGAGGAGGTACATCTTCCGTAATGTTCCAGATGGCCTCTTTTTGACTTTGGACAATAACCTTCTAATCTGTACATGCTTGGAAAATATGTGTCCGTCCAGACTCTTTCAGATGCATTTATGTATACACTCGGCAGGAAAGCTCGCATTCATGTCAATGGGTAAGAAGGGACAGCAGTGCATGAAGCGAAACCTTTTTCCCGTTTGAGAAACAAATGGAAAGAAACAAAAAAGTACCAGTGTCTTCGGATCGAATTAACCTTCCGTCTAGATCCGGTTACATGCGATTTCTCTTTGTTGTACCGCTTACACTGGTAACCGTCGGTGAAGGAAGTTGTCGAAACAGAGCGGTTTCAGTTCGGTAACTAAACGTCATCCCATGGCTTTTATAATGATCATCGAGGTTTATTCCCTTTAGTGTTGCCAGGTACCAAGCTGTTTCAACGGTAACCGACGAGGAATATCGTAGCGAGATGTCTGTCTTAAATTTCGGATATCCGTATTTAGATCAAGGAGGATTAGACGCACAGTTCTGACAAGTAGTTCAGAGCATTGACGCGAATGCAAAGCTATCCACCAATCAAGAGGCAGGTCGACCAACAAGCCAATGGGAATTCTGACGCCAACGACCAATAATCGCGTTAAGGTCAGTCTGGTTCAGTAGAACCATGCATAGACAATATCCACTTACTTTCATCCACAGAGCAAGCACTTGTACCAGCGCCACAGTGGCCATATCAACTCTGTTGCCGATAAAATGTTCGCAACCATATTGTTCAGCTCAGAGGACAAACCAAAGGCCACCCTTTGGTGATTTTTCTGACGATCGCAGCTACAACGTCCGTACATGCGACGCGTGCGTGTACCTCTGAATTACCAATGAAACCATATACCGTTGGCATTTCACACTGAAATCTGTGCATCGTGTGTACAAAAATCTTTAGTATGCTGACATATGAGCTCACCAAAAAAGCAATGTTGATCCCAGCACATTATAGCACTTGACTTGAAGACTGTATTTATCGATTATCAAACACATACACCGTTATATAAATACATTCACACTGCTTTCTGGATAGTTCGGAAGGCCATTTTGTGATCATACTCGGAACTAGTCGGGGCCGGAATTTGTCGACCCAAATGTGGGCGGCTACTGACCGATTTTTAAGGTGAATTTTTGCGATTTTTTTATAACAAACACTGAAAATGATATCAAAGCAAACGTACCAGTGCTTCTGCCACATGTTTCTGCCTATACCCTGTAAGTAGGTTTTCATAGCAGTTAGGTGGAACTGCCTTTACCTCACTGCAATTACTGATCCAATGAATTGACGACGATTTGCAATTTCGAAGCACCAAGGCCTTCAGATGTTTAAATGAAATAGTTCACGACTGCTGCGTTTTTAGCCAGACTAACGCCAGTAAGACCCGTGCATAGTAATTGTGGTGACACATTGTGGCGCAGCGTTTTTAGCCAGACTAACGCCAGTAAGACTCGGGCAGAGTACCTCTAGTGACACATTGTGGCTCAATTCGAAGTAGCCTGTGTTGTGTTGTGGATAGCACTGATGTGTCAGGATGTCGTACTTTCCTGCGGCACAGACTGAAGCTGTTGGAATCCTGTTATGTACTTCACAGTCTTGTGTTCACATGAAGCTAGGCAACTTTTGAGCTTGGTTTGGTCAGTCCAGCTACGTCCTTACGGTTGTCAGTGGCATAATAACACTTTTTTCGGAGTGAACTCAGTGAGACCTTTCCCCCGCCGCAGAAATCATGCAACTGCTGTGCATTTTCGTCCGAAACCAAAAACCAAACTTTGTTCGCCACACTGAAAATCAATATTTGCGGTCCCTTCCTGGTTGTAGCACTGTCAGGTTTTCGTAAAACACTGCAGCAACTGAACAATAAGGGCTATGTGCACAGGCTTCCGTAAACAAAAATCAGTATGAAAGACGTGTAATTCCCTGCGGACGCAGGGAATGGACTCGGTTGCGATTTCGTTGTAGCCTAATTCTCACGTGCCGCTCTTCTACAGACCAGTAACAGTCGTCACGACATGGGAGAACATGCCACACTGTGCTTCCCACGACGTTGTGGCAACAGTTTGCAACCGTGAATGTTTAGTTTGTATGGATTGCTTCCAACGGCACACCTTCGGACGGAGCTGCGTGCGACGTGAAAATTCCAGTGAATAACGACGGATGAGATGGCATCCAAACCGATGCGTTTATGTGCTCGTCAATCGTTCCACCCATGCTGGTCACTTCAACGAAAGACTTAGATAGAGAATCTGACATCTGTTCAATCTCCTTTCCACCATTGAGAGCGCGAAATTGAATAATTGCATCAATTCGAACTTAACGACTGGTTATGTGCCGGTATGATGTTGCAGGCACAACTTGATTGGCATCAGCAATGAAGAAGCATAATTTTCCACCCACATTATTTAACCGGTGTAGAATACATATTCTGACGTATACTTGAAAACACAACTGAGTTACGCGCCAAATCATAAACCAAGAATTGTGAAATTGAGATTCACCAAATAATTTGTACCTGAAAAGGACACAAATCTCAATTTATGGGGAGTTCCGTCTAATTGTTGCGCGGATTGGTGCCAATCCAAAGAAAGCCCTGTGAGAATCGACGGACGTGAAGTACCGACAAACGCGCCTAAACAGCAATTGGTAACGCAACTGATCAAAAGCCGCGCGGGGAAGTTTTGTCGGAATCGGTTCGGCATGTTAATTGCCAAAAGTTGATAAATGGTTGTGGGTGAAAATGGAATGTATGAGATAGACGCAGAAAACAGCGGGTTCAAGCAAGGGAAGCGTATGACTGAGAGAGAAAGAGAGAGAACGCACAGTTAGTTACCAAACTTTACTACAAAAAGAGTGCAAATCAACATTCAGTAGATGGATCGGACTACTTCTCGATTTTTATTTTACCGTGGGACGTACGAACAAGGAAAATAGGACACTTCGAAGGATTAGCCACCTGCAACCAAGATTGCACAAAGTAGGTACACGCGAACCGTGCCCACAGTAAATCATACAGCTGAATCAAGTTTATTCCAAAAGGACTAAAGGAGTAAACTTAAAGATGGTTACTGCCACTAAAGGCAACAATAATAATAATAATAATAATAATAATGAAGCGGAAACATGCTGCGGTTTTTACGATAGCCAGAACCTTCTTTTTTAACTTTTATTGAAATATAACGAGACACTAGAAAGCTGGGGATCGTGGTGCATCTTGTTCCGTTGGTAAAGATCATCCACAGTTGGTTCTATGCGTATTCGACGACGAACATCTCCGTGGTGAATGAAACGACAGAAAAATTTGAAATTACAGCGAGCTGTTTTTCCTCCGACTGTTTTGTGTCCGCTATGCTGCAGCCCTTGGTGTCCCACTTGCCACATTAAAGCCATATCTCTCTCTCTCCTAGCTCTCTGACTTCGAATTTTCCTGACCAAGTGCTGCGGGCTGCCGGAGAGGAGCCTTGAGAAGCAGCGTGGTTGCCCGTAACTTTGTCGGTCCCACACTGACTACTTGTGAGTAGTTAGATTTGAATGATAAATTTCTTAAACCACTTGTGAGCCTCTCAAAAGAGCTGAGAATGAACCTTTCATTCATTACTCATAAGATTGCTGAAAACTCTTCGACCCGGTCGGCTCATTTAGGATCGTGTTACACAGCACGAACTTCCATAAGCGAAGCGCTGCTGATCAAATCGATTTGGTTTGATTAGCTGGCTTGTAGAAGTTAACCTATCAGTGCCTGCTCAACATTGTTTTTAATGGAACATGAGGCAGCAACGCATTTGATTGCTTAAGAACCTCATAGACAAGAGATTCAGCTGGGTTCCAGGAGAGTCAAAATCAAACTGAACGTTGTTTTTAATGGAACATGAGGCAGCAACGTAGTCAATTGCCTAAGAAC